CTCAGCAGATCAAATGACCCTACCGAGGGTGGGACTCAGAGGGAAGGGGCTCTACCTTGGCCTGCTGGCTCAGCCGGGCCACCTCCCCCTTCAGGCTGGCAGAGGTGATGTGTTCCTCGTCCACCTGACGCTGGAGTTGCATTTTCTCATCCTTGAGAGCTTTAATTTCTTCTTTCAAAGACTGGATCTGCTTCTCATAGTCTTGTGTTTTCAGTTCAAAACTCTTTTCAAGGCGTCTAGGCAGCAAAGGAAGAAAATAATTAATTAAGGATTGTTTCTGCTGCTTTACTTTGAATTAGAACTATATGTCATTTTGAAGGTGATAAGAGAGGACTCTGGAGAGGAGGAGACAAGGTAATCAGGACCCACTGTGACAGTTCCAGAAGACCACGGCCTTAGTTTAGCAGACCACTTCCTGTTCCCTTAGGTTAAAGGCAATTTCTGACGCCTCTGACCTGAGACGTGTGGCTCTACAACTACGCACAGGGAACGCAGGAGAGGGAGGACCAATTTAAAAGGACACTGTTGTTGGGGCACTGTATTCCTGAGGCCACCCCAGTTCCATGTAGTCTCCTTTGAGGAGCCAGTTTCCTTCAACCAAGACTTTGACATGTTCTCCCAAGTCCGGGCCACTTACCAGTTTCAAGGGGGCCTGGTCTGGTCCTAATAAAATGAATAGAACCAGCCGGGCACAGTGGCTCACACCTGTAATCCCAGCACTCTGGGAGGCTGAGGTGGGTGGATTGCTTAATCTCTAGAGTTCAAGACCAAATTGAACAAGAGTAAGACCCCTGTCTCTACTAAAAATGAAAAACTAAGGCAAGAGGATCACTTGAGCCCATGAGTTTAAGGTTACTGCAAGCTGTGATGCCATGGGACTCTACCAAGGGTGACAAAGTGAGACTCTGTCTTAAAAAAAAAAAAGTGAACAGAACCATCCAATATGTATGTCCAGGGATCTAGTCCTTTAAAAACTTAAGGATAAACTACAGCAAATCTAGGTGTCCAAAGTCCATGGAAACCCAATTCCTTGTGAGAAGACTGCTCAATTAAGTATGTGATAATTAACTAAGGAAATAACCAAAGAGAGATCCATGACCTGGACAAGCCCAGCATAGCCCACAGGGGCCCAGTCAGAACGGAGCCAGTTCTGGTGCTCTGTGAGGACATGAAATCCTTCTACTAGCTGGGCTCTCAGCTCAGCTCAGTGGATACCTTGCACAAAGAGAAAAACTCCCAGGAAGAGAGCTACCTTCCCAATAAATTTGTTTGATTCCTTTTTATAGACGTTAACATACTTTTCAACTTTGTTTTTCAGGTTTTCCAAAAGAAAACTCCCAAGAATCTGTGACAAGAACCTTAGCCCTATAAATTGAACTGGTCAGGAGTGTGCCCACAGACAGTGGGCATCCTGGCACCTCTTGAGGTTGTGACAGGGGCAGAGACTTCCCCAGTTGGCTGGCCAGTGAGCAGACTGAGCCACAGGTGGGAGGCTAAGGAGGACACAGTACCAAGGGTTACAGAAGGTGACGAGTTTTACTCCCTTCATTGGCTAGCCTATGTGAGGACTGCAAAGGGCTCACGGTGACCTGGCTTCAGCCTGGCTCTCCATGCCCGTTTCAAATAATCACCCCCAAGTGGACTCAGTACAAGAGAGATGTCAAGAGCTGAGCTCCTCTCCTAGAGTTGAGAATTCATTGAAAATTATATTTTTGATGACAACGTTTCAAATTGTATATAAACCCAGCACATTATACCCCATGATTGCATTAATGTACACAGCAATGATTTAATAAAAGAAAAGAAAATTCTATTTTGGCCAGGCATGGTAGCTCATGCCTATATCCCTAGCACTCTAGGAGGCCAAGGTGGGTGGACGGCTTGAGCTCAGGAGTTCAAGACCAGCCTGGGGAAGAGCAAGACCTACCTGTACTAAAAATAAAAAAAACTAGCCAGGCGTCGTGGTAGGCACCTGTAGTCCCAGCTACTTGGCAGGCTGAGGCAGAAGGATTGAGTCCAAGAGAAAGAGGTTACTGTGAGCTATGATGATACTATGGCACTCTACCCAGGGTGACAGAGTGAGACTCTGTCTCCAAAAAACAAACAAACAAACAAACAAATAAAGAAATTAATTTTTCTAGGTAAATGAGTTAATTAGGTGTATCTAAAAACTGATAAGGGATTGTGAAACACTTCATACATGTATTAATTCTTGAAGCTATTCAGTGATATTCCTTTCCCTAACTCTTTGGAATCATGCCTCCTCACCCAGACCTGGGCTGTCCTGCTAACTGCCTGGAGAAGTTGTGTACCCTACCCCACCTCAGCAGCCCTGAGCCTTCTAGTCCCCTAAAGAGACCTAGAATATTCTATCTCTCCCCACTACTGCACCATGCATCCTGACTTTGAGATCTAAAAACCTTTGAGTTGATTTCTTAAGAAAAGAGGAACCCAACTGGGGTTTGATATTAGATAAGGTACTAGGTCATGGGGACCTGTCTTAATTTTTTGTGAGGTGGGTTACATACCTTGTCTTCTGGGACAAAGTCAAGCTAAGAGGTACCATAGGCGAGAGAAGGGAGGAAGACTTGTTTCCTAGACAATAATCTTAATTCCTAGACTTGATGGAAGTTTAAGTGGATAGGCTGAATTTTTCACTGTCTTAATATAAGGAAAATAAAAATAAAATAAAGAAAAAATACCTTTTAAAAAAAAATACAGTAAAAATTTCCTAGTGATCCTACTGTTCCCACCTAGCAGAAGCACTGGGGACTCTCCGGTGCAGTGTCTGAAAGAGCACGCTGTGGGACTGGGCTCTCACAAACCTCAAAGTCACTCACTGAAAAATCTGCACACCCACAGTATCTGTGAGCTGCTGTCTGTAAGCTGAGAAGCAAAGCATGAAACAGCAGAGAGAGAAGGAAGAGGCAGCTTTAAGGCGAACCAGACGTCGTACGTTCTTTGCTGTTCTTCTCTTTGCACATCGTCAAAGAGCTGCTTGGTGAGGTGGTCCATTTTCTCTGTGAAAAGAGAACGCTCTTTGAAATAAGCCTGCCAAACCAACGCCTGACCGTGTTATGTCACATGTAAGAAAGCGAGAATAAGGACGATCATGCTTTATTTCTTACCAATAGGACTTAAGATGAGAATGTACATCATTTTTTTTATCAGCTAAAAATATAGATGAAAGGGTTTCAAGACAGTTCACACCAATTTGTCATGTTGGAAGCTATGAATAAACAGTTGCATTGATAGTACTTTGATTTGTCTGAATGCCATTGGTTTTATTAAAATAATTACTGTCTTTGAGACAATGTTAAAAATAAACAGAAGGCCACTGGGAAGAAAACGATTTATGAGAGGGCTTCTCATCTTGGCACCACTGACACTTCAGGCTGGATGGTTCCTGGTGAGAGGGGCTGACCTGTGCACTGTAGGATTCTGAGCAGCTTCCCCGGCTTCTACCCTCTGGAAATGAGTTGTACCTCTGCTCTAGCAGTGACAACCAAAAATGTCCCCAGACATTACCAAACGTCCAAGGGTGGGGGGACAGGCACAACCACTCTAATGGAAAACTGTGCATCTGTGACACCCCCCAAAATACTAAAATTTCTGTCTTCATCTGAGTAAGCGGATGTACAGAAAAAGGCAGCTCCTAACGCTTAAATACAAGAGTCTCAAATACAAAGGCAACTGGCAATTAGGAAGTGGTCACGAGGGTTCAGAATATTCCATGCCTATGACAACCACGGTTCCAGTGTGGACATGCGCCCTAGGGGCCCATCCAGATGTGAGAAGGCTGAAGCGGTCCCTCCAACCGACTGCACTTAACTGATGTCTCGCCCTTGATTTGACCTCACCTCTGAGCCCCACCCTCTCAGAAGGGGACCCAGGGTGAGCTGTCCTTAGCAATTCTCCACGTTACTTGGTTTATTTTTTTCCTTTTAAAAAGAAAGCCAGTGGTTTAATAATAGTTTGCCTAATGCTGTGCCAAAATGTTCCTGAATCAAAACAACTGCAGCAGGATGTTGAAAGGCAGCCATAAGATACTGGGGGAAATGCTTAAGCTTTAATTTAGAAGTCTGCACATTTGATATAACATCAACCTTTAATTCACCAAAAGTATTGCCTTCAAAATCTGGTGCTTATCATCTTGGGCTATTTGCAAATGGGCTAAGAAGTTGCTCACATGTGACTTTCTTCCTAAGAGCAACAGGATTAGGTACATGTTGAGCTGGAATCTCAAGGAAATGCCACCTGGTAACATCCAGAGTCAAAGATCAAGGGGGCGGAACAGGTTGGTGCTGTTCATAAAATGCTGTTTGCCTTGCGGTGGGGGGTAGGGAGAGATCCCACAGGATAAATCATTTATAAGTGCTACCTTCGAAAGTTTGTATGGATTTCTTAGAAGGGGACATAAAATTACCCATCCAACATCTCAATGGTGTCAAATATATAATTTTCAGGTTACATTTCTGGGCATTTAAATGTTCCTATGGGAAATTCCACTTAAAGAAATTAAGAGGAAAAACACCCAAAACAGGGCGGCGCCTGTGGCTCAGAGGAGTAGGGCACCGGCCTCATATGCTAGAGGTGGCAAGTTCAAACCCAGCCCTAGCTAAAAACTGCAAAAAAAACCCACCCAAAACAACTGTTCAAGAGGCATGCATTATAATAAAGGGAGGGAGGTGGGAAATCCCGTCCCTAACTCTTTCTGCCTGACCTCTGACCCCCAACATTCATAGGGGCTCTGATGCCCACATCAGCAGCCCCATACAGATGGGGGAGGCCATGGCACCAGCATGGGAGAAACACCCTGCTCCCTATATCAGCGGGGATGGCCTTCCTGCCTGCCAGCTTCCTTCCTCATCTCCAACTTGGGCTTCTCACACTGCCCTGAGCACCCAGGGCTCTGCGCCCCTCCAGGTCCTGCTATGTGGGCCATCGGCTGGGCCTGGCGTGCTCAAGATCCCAGGCCTAAGCCCTTGTGCCCCTGCTGCTCCCACATTGCAGCTCCAGGAAAAGATCCCCAGACATGCTCACCTCTGGTGGGATGTGCATTATCTGGTCAGGAAGACCAAGCTCCTGCTCCTGTTGCCATTTCTGCCATTTAGTCAGTATTTTTTTGTGTTGGGGGGGCAGAGTTTCACTTAGTCGCCCTGGAGCTGAGTGCCATGGCATTATAGCTCACAGAAACCTCAAAGTCTTGGGCTCAAGCAGTCTTCTTGCCTTAGCCTTCCCGGACTACAGGCCCCCACCACCACCAATACCAAACTATTTTTAGAGATGGGGTCTCACTCTTGCTCAGGCTGGTCTCAAACTCCTGAGCTCAAGGGATCCACCCACCTCGGCCTCCCAGAGTGCTAGGATTACACGCCCAGCCCTAGCTAGTATCTGGACTGAGGCAGCTACTCTACACCCCTAAAGCAAAGTGATACCCACTGGTTCCAAAGTCTGCCCTTCACGTGGGGCAAGACAGTGGCAGAGGACATTAAGCTAAGTAACTGACGGATCTCACATTTTTCTACAAATCCTTGGTGAGCAGCAAACCTTACTGCAGCATCACCTGACTGTGCATCAGGATCACTGCAAAGTTAAAAAAAAAAAAAATACAGATGTCTGAATCTCCCCTGCAGCACCACTGCCCTGACACACCCATGAGTGCCTGCACATGCGTGCACACACACGCTTCCTGGTGCAAAGCCCTGGGCTGGCGCTCCAACCATCTGTCCTTTGCAAAGGGCATATAGGTGGTTCTGAGGCATAGACAGGGACTGCTGTGCTGGCTGACAAAAGATAGAAATAAAACAGATGATCCATAGGGTAAAGTCACCAGTGTAAAATACATAGTTAATCCCCTTGGCTGGGCATGGTGCCTCACGCCTGCAATCCTAGCACTCTGGGAGGCTAAGGTGGGTAGATTCCTTGAGTTCAGGAGTTTATGACCAGCCTGAGCAAGAGTGAGACTCTGTCTCTACTAAAAATAGAAAAATCAGCAGAGCATTGCGGCAGGCACCTGCAGTCCCAGCTAATTGGGAAGCTGAGGCAGAAGGAATTCTTGAGCCCAGGAGTTTGAAGTTGCTGTGATCTATGATGCCACTGCACTCTAGCCTGGGCAACAGCATGAGACTCTGTCTCAAAAAAAAAAAAGTTATTCCTTATGGGGTAAATACATTCTTACTACACTAAGTATACATTAGAGACCTCTGATTCTAAAACTGGTCACACCAATACTGTTTACTGAATGGCTAACTCAGCAAAAGTGCAGATGGAACAGCTGCTTTGAGCTTTACCTTTCAACTCTTCAGTCTTCTCTTGAAGCTTCAATTGTATTTGCTCTTTCTGTGTTTCCAGCTCTGAATTATGCTTCTGAAGCTTTGCCAATTTCTAGCAAAGGGAAGGGGAAAAAATTTTAAAAAGTTTTGAAAACCTCCTTTTGTGTTTGTCACTGTCACCTCTCTTGGCAAAAAGCAGTATATGTAGAATTAATTATTTCCCCCCTCAGCTCCTGTTCATAGATAGTAGGCAGCGTCCCCACAAGCTGCTGCAATTAGCTTCATCTGCAGGGCTCAGTGTGGCTTCAAAGCAGATGCTATTCCCAACCTGGCTGAAACCAAGGAAAAAGGACCACATCCAAGGTCTCCTCAAGGTCAAGAAAATGCCTCTATCCTTTTATTGAGCTTCTCCACAGCCAGGGGAATTTATTTTATGCTTTAACGTGCTAAAATTACTTAATTTACCACAGAAAGCATCCACTTTGCGGGTGTGAGGATGCAGGAAGGATGTGTGAGCACGGCAGGATTTCTACTGTTTCAGGGTCTCTTATTAAAGTGCCTGCTAGGCTAGCGGTGGTGCTGACGGCTGCGCTGGGCAATGCCAGCAATGCCAGTGGCAGCAGCACTGGTGCATCTGACACGAGGCTTGAGGAGGGCAGGGCAATGCTCTCTGGGGCTCCAGGCTACCAACCCTGGTGCTAGGACATTGGAAATTCCCGGAGTGGACAAAGGCTGCCTCCTCAGAGCATGCCAGCCCCTACTCCACCGGGCATTATGATAGGGATTTGGCTAAGGTACCATGCCTGCCAATTTCACCCTCTCAACAGCTCTGTCAGTCCCTTTTTATTTCCATCTTACATATGGGTGGAAACTACAGCTCAGAGAGGGTAAGTGACTTGGCCAAGGCTGCCCAACCAGATAGCAGCAAAGATCTGACCCCATGACCAGAGTTCAGGCCATCTGGATTTTACATCTGCTGCTTTTTCACTATGCTCAGAGATGAAAACCTCCCACAAGCTCAGCATCTGTTCAGGGAAGAAGTCTACAGAGCACAGATTCGATGAACAAGTGATGGGGACCAAGGTCATCCTAGAAGAGAGAGAAGCACCCAGCCAGGACTCCTGGACTCCTTGGGCATTTCTTTACTTTGCAGAAGTTGACAGAAAGAGAAAACCTATGTTGCATTTCTCTAAGCATTAACCTCCCTTGCCCCTGAACTTTAGTCCTCTGGTCTCCCTTCCTCTTCAAGGTAGACTTCCTTAGGGCATAGAAGTCGATAACAAAATCTGATTTGCTCTGCATAAATCCATGTTGTAAGAAAAGCTTGCAGGCCAGGTGGAGTGGCTCATGCCTATAATCCTAACACTCTGGGAGGCTGAGGTGGGTAGACTGCCTGAGCTTACAAGTTCAAGACCAGCCTGAGCCAGAGAGAGAGCCATGTCTTTAAAAATAGCCGAGCATTGTGGGCAGGTGCCTGTAGCCCCAGCCACTTGGGAGGCTGAGGCAAGAAAATCGCTTGAGCTGAAGAGTTGGAGGTTGCTGTGAGCTGTGATGCCACAGCACTCCATGGAGGGTGACAAAGTAAGACTCTGTCTCAAAAAAAAAAAAAAAAATCCAGGCATTGTTGCAGCCACCTGGAGTCCCTTAGCTGAGGCAAGAGAATCACTTAAGCCTAAGAGTTTGAGGTTTCTGTGAATAGTGATGCCACAACACTCTACCGAGGGTGGCAAAGTGAGACTCTGTCTCAACAAAGCGAAACAAACGAAAAAACAAAACAAAGAAAAGCCTGTGATGCTCATGTCTTCCATGGAAGGAGCCACACGCATATCCACTCCCACAAGCCAGCGGCTGACCTCTTCCGCAGCGTCCCTGTATCTCCTCCCCCTCTCCTCGTAATTCTGCCTGTGGGCCGCTGCTCTTTCCAGCTCTGTTTCTAGCTTCTGAATCTTCTCCATATCGCTGGCTCGAAGGGCAGCCACGCTGGTCAGCTTCTCCACCAGCCCATGGTTCTCTTTGTTCTAGAGAAAAGAAAATCCAGGTGGTTAGAGGTTTACCCAAAATGAAGGCGTTTCTCACTGTGATTTGCTTCTCACGACCTTTACTGTGGCATCTCGGTCCACCAGGGGTTTATGGACACTGTCACATTTGTCATTGCGCTGGCGCTAGTTAGCATCTTCACCACAGTGAAACTGGTGAGGCAGATCTTGTCGGGTATTAACAACTGTCTACTCGAGATGGGGGCTCTTCCAGTGTCTGATCTCTCCAGTCCCAGAGCTCCAGGACAACCCTGGTGTTAGGGGGCTGATTTGTGTCCACCCAAAATTCATATGCTGAAGCCCTAACTCCTGCACCTTGGCATATCACTGCGTTTGAAGATGGGACCTTTAAAGAGATGACTGAGGTAGAATGAGGCTGTTAGGGTGAGCCCTAGCCAATATGATTGGTTGGTGTCCTTATAAGAAAAGGAGATTAGGACACAGGCACAGGCACAGGCACAGAGCGATGACCATGAGAAGACGCAAGGACAAGATGGCCCAGCTACCAGCCAAGCAGAGAGGCCTCAGGAGAATCCAACCCTTCTAATACCTTGCTTTGGACGCCAGCCTGCAGAACTGTGAGACAACCCATCGTGGTTGTTTATGCCACCCCGTCTGTAGTACTTGGTTACGGCTGTCTTAGCAAAATACCGCACCCAGGATGGAGCCTGGGCAGCATCGGACTCCACCAGGCATCACTCCTGGTGGGCCGTGGCCATCTTTAAGTGCTACTCTGCATAAGCTGTGCAACACACAGACCTGCTACACAACATAATGCAGGGAATGGCCACAAAAATCTTAGTTGTTCACATCTTCATCTATTCATTAAGAGCTTCTACGGAATGGGTTAGGGCTCAGTTTAAAATTCATCTCAGGAGAATGTCATTATTTGAGATAGGTGTGGGAGTGAGTTTTTACAGATCTGGACACTGCATATTCCACAGCCCTCTCCACTAGGCTGAGAGCATGTGGGGTTTTGTCTTCTTGCTGGTGAGAATGGTATGGGGAATCTCTAACTATAGCCTACAGCACCTGTGGGTAAATTAGGACACGGCAGCTTCTCTGAGCTGATGTCCTGAGGGAGCACCCTCAGCACGCACCGGTGTCTTCATGCAAATTAGAAAAATTAAGGCAGCTCAGCTTCACACAGGCACACGTGCCTTGACGGGGGAGCCAGGCTGGATTTGAACCTCGCTTGTCTTCGTAGGTAGGTGTGTTTGTGCAGTGTACAACCCACACAACCCTGCCTGGTCACCCTTTAACAGTGTACTTCTCTAGGTCACAGAGTTAGTATAAACTGTAAATTGAATCTCCATATGTGAATATGGGCACAGTCTTCTTTTTTTTTTTTTTTGCTGTTTTTGGCTGGGGCTGGGTTTGAACCTGCCACCTCTGGAATATGGGACCAGTGCCCTACCCTTTTGAGCCGCAGGTGCCACCCCTGGGCACAGTCTTTATAGCATAGCTAAGGAACTGGTCCAGAACAAAATTACTCTATGTGAGAAACGGTAGATATCAAAGATGCGTTGTGAACACTTACCTGATCTTCCAGCTTTTTCTGCAAACGCTGGACTCTGTACGTAAGCTGAATGTTGAGCACAAATCGTCGGATGCTCTGAAATCTGCGTCTGGCCAGCCAGGCCCGGGCATATTTCTGAAGGATCACAGCCTTGTGTTCCTTCAGCATCTTTAAAACAAGATTTTTTGAAATATAAAAACTGGATTCCAGCTGCTCCTCTCACCAATTCCTCCAATTCTGGAAGATGCAACTATCACAGTAGAATTTCTTGTCATCAACCCACAGGGTCCTATTACACCCAGACTTTGGAAACAATAACCAAATCCTACCTGTGGGAGGCATGTGAGAACACATAGGAGACATTCTCATAGGAGAACCTGAGCTCCCCAGGAAGGTTTTGTGTAAAAAAAAAAAGATCTCACTGCTGTTGGTGAAAAACAGCACGAGTCCTGGGAAACTGGTGTCCCTGGAAGGCAGCTGGTCTTTACTGAACCTTTCTTTTTTTTCTTTCTTTGGAGGATTGGTTCTTTATTTCAAAAATATACTTGTCAATATTAGCACTAAAATATTTATTTACACTGTTGGCTTCTCTTTCTCCCTAATCAACCCCAAACACCACGGGAAAGTACCATTTAAGCCAATAAGCTTCAGGACGTGCACCCAACGGACCTCACACAAACCTCACCAAAAAGTGGGGTTTGGGCGGAAAAAGGAACGTTACAAGATCAATATACTGCCAGCCCACAGACCGTAGAGAGCACTCACGGTCAAATGAGATGGCCAGGGCACTCTAAACCTCAGAAGCAAAATTTCCAAATAACCTAAAATTGAAAAAGTTTTGTGCATAACCTATTCAGGATTTCTCTAGCACTGGCTGACACAAGGCACGATGAGACAGCACTTCTACAGACAGCAGCGACAGACCCAGAAAGAGGGACTGAGACGAGCGCCGTGTGGCTGCGGCTGGGGCAGAACATCATCTCTCTTTCTTTCAAAGAGACAGGACAGCAATTAAGTGGTCACCTCAACGTAGGGGGCGCACGGTCTGTTCTGTGGGCCGATGGGATGGGGGCAGAGTAGAACAAAAATTTGACCTTAGAGGTCTCACCGTCTTAATTTGGTCACTTTTGATGAAAATAAAAAAAATAAAGTTATCCAAAAAGACCTCGAAGCTGAAAATCTGAAGAGCACATTTTGGGGGTGTTTTTGGCGAACTCCTCCCGGAATCAGGAGCTTTTCTTGGCTCTGCTTGGTTCTCAGTGAGGAGTCCCCCTCCTTGGTCCCTTTGGCCGTACCTTTCGATACCCTCTCCGTGCCAGGAACCCACGGGTGTAGGCCTGGATGGTGACAGTGGCCACGCGAATCAGCTGGTACAGGCTGCGGACAAGGTACCCACGACAGTGCTTCTGGATGACGATGGCAGCCCACGCTTCTTTTAAGGCCGTGGCAGTAATAGCTTTCCTTGGTTAAAAAGAATGAAGATTGAACCTATTATCCACAGAGGACTAACTTCTGTTACAGACCTGCAAGCTTGGGTAGCACCTGCCTAGTAAGGAATGCTCACGTTTGCATGTCTACATAGGAAACTTTGAAAGCGGTTTATTCTAATGCCTGATTGACGCCAGGCCCGGTTTCCTTTCCTCTCCACCCTACTCTGACTGTGGATCCCTTCTAGGCTCTGAGGAATCACAGGGAAACTTTCATACTCTTCCTATTCAGGCCAGTTGATCCATGTGCACTCACAGACCCACAGCCAGAGAGACCATGAGGACAAGACAGTGTGCTGGCCTTGCACTAGCTCGTTCAGCCCCGCAGCTGTGGATGGGAGAAATCATGCTGGAGTCTCCAGATCAAGGGTTGGAAAACTAGGGCCTGAGGGCCAAATCAGACTGTGCATGTTGCTGTCAAGTGTCACTGAAACACAGCTGTTCCTGTTATGTGCATTATCCCCCATGGCTGCTCTCAGGCCATGCAGCAGAACTGAGTAGTTATGACAGAGAATTTAAGTCCCCCAAGCCTCAAGTAGTTATTATCTGGCCCTTTACAGAAGATGTTTGCCGACTCCTGCCTAAGAGACTGGAGCTGAAGACAAGGTTCTTGACTTCAGTGTTTATAATCTCATGTAGCAGACAGACTTATAAATGACCAAGAAATAAGAAAAATAAAATACTCACTAGACCTGTAAGTGAGAGCACAGGGTAAAAACAGTCATTCTGCCTGGGAAGAGCTGGCAAGTGAGCCAGTCCTGGGTGGGAAGGAGGGTTTCTGCCCTGAGTGAAGCTGGAAAAGGCATTTCAGGCCAGGGGACAAAGGGGAGACTGCATGAGTAAAGGCACGGGAGCCTGGCTGTGCCTGAGATAGACAAGAAAGGGAATTTGTCTGGATTGCTAGAATATAGGATACACAGAAGAAAATTAGTTGTCACTGAGGTTGGAAAAACAGATGTGACCATTTGTTATATAAAAAATATATGCCTTGGACAGATTATAGCCTACTGTGTGATAGCCCCCTTGCTAAGTCTAGATTTAGATGTAATGGGGACCAGATGACGTAGTCCCTTCCCTCATAGAGCTTCCATTCTTGTGGGTGCATCCAGGCCACGGAGGGCTGTGACCACCATGTTGGAGACATTGAATGCTGTTCTGTAGGAAATGGGGCCTGTAGAGGAATTGAAGGCCGAGCAGAGAAATGTTTTAGCCAGGCCCTGACATGGGAAGAGGGGAGAGAAGTGGCAGGTGGAGTGCTGTGCTGTCAAAGCATAAGACAGGTGATGACATGGGCCCAACCAGGGCAAGAGTAGGATGGAATGAAAGAGACAGGTGGGCAGGTGGGTCCAGAATGACCAGGCGTTGGAGGGTCCCAAATGCAAAGGCCAATATGGGGTTGAGGGAAAGATAATTCTGTTGTTTCCTGCCCCGGAGATGATTATCAACTGAACCCAGAGCCAGCCTGTCTGTGTGCGGTGTGCCATGCCAGGCACGTGGAGAAGCCTATATTGCTTGAGGTTGGTTCTCAAGCTCAGGAAGAAACCAGGCTCAGAGATACAGCCTGACTTACACGCCTGCCTTCTCAACTGTCCTCACAGCATTCCAAGTGATAGGACAGGCTTGCTAATAAACTAGCTAACAGAAACAGATAAACTATCAAACAGAAAGTAAGAGAAAACTCAGAGTGCAATTGTCCTGTTGTTTGATCAAGCACCAGGGACTTAACTGGTTATCTCTTAAGAGTTTGTTTCACAGTCTTGAAGAGCCCTAAGCAGATAATAGGGGGGTGAACTTCCCACCTCAATTCCTGCCAAAACCACATCCCAAGGATAAACCTGCCTCTAGGAAAAAAAAGGGGAGAAGGCAACTCCCTGACATCTTGCAGCCATTCCTGTCATTGGTCTGCTGAAGAAAAAAAGGAAAAAGTGAATGCAGCAGTTTCACGGCTGTATCCTGCTACTTGGCCTCTAGCCATAAAATTTCCTTTACCTTCCTTAATAAAAGCCAGAGCCCCTTTTCCTGAGCTGCTGGTACTAACTCCTACTTTCTTTCAGTGCCTGCCATTTCCCTTCTTTTCTCTCTTTTTTCTCAGGAAAGGAAATAAACTTTTTACTTCTTTCTATCCTAATCTTTATATTGAGGGCTCTTTCTCAAACCCATGTATGAACACCCACCCTAACACCAAGAAAGGAGGCAGGGCAGACATGCAGAAACACACAACAACATATCTGGGAAGGATGCCACCTCACCAGCCAGCCCAGCATGGCCTTGTGGGGACACCCAGGTCCCACACTCTCCACCCGATACACCAAAGCCACAGAAAGTCACTGGATGATTGTGGTCCTTCAGTGGGCCACAGGGTAATGCGGACTCTTAGGACTCATGAAGGAGGGTTGTAGTGGCTAGTAACCTGCCCTCAACTCTGCCATGCTGTTGGCCAAGGCTGCCACGGTCCTCCGGCCCATGCAGTGTTACTGCCGTGGGGGTTTAGCAATGGCTGTGCTGGTG